AAGATGAGGCTTTCTACTCCCGTAAGGATTTACACCCTCGGAAACCCTGTACAGGGTCGCTATGGGTCGGAACCGACTCGACGGCACTTAACAACAACATACCTAAAAATGTAGATGTTTTTGGGTGTCACTAAGCTGATTTCAACTCCTAATGACTCTTCCATGTGACAGAATAGAGTTGCCTCCATAGGGTTTTCTTGACTGTAATCTTTACAGAAGCACATAGCAGCCAGATACTTAACCATTACACCACCAGGGCTCCTAAACAAATAATACACTTACGGTCCATATAAGTAAGAAAATTATGAAATAGAAACAAACTTTTCCATGGTTGTGTGTGGATGGCCATGTTACATGTGATTGTTACATTCTCCTCTTTAACTTTGACATTATTTTCCGGGTTTTGGGCACTAAGAATTTATTTTTTTTCAAAAGCAATGACACCTAACAATTTTCATTTTCTAAATTCCAAAGTGAAAATCAAGTAATAAAACATTAATAATTAGTTTGTCCTAAAGTCCAAACTAATTATGTTGTTGTTGTTGTGAAGTGCCGTCAAGTCGGTTCTGACCCATAGCGACTGTGTATAGGGTTTCTGAGGAGCAGCTGGTGAGCTTGAACCGCCAACCTAGCAGTTCAAACAGCTTTGCAGTCTGGTGCATTAACCCACAGCGCTACACCAGGACTCCAACTATAATTATAGGACAAACTATAATTATAATTATAGGGCAAACTCCAATTATAGGACAACTATATTAATGTTTTATTACTTGATTTTCACTTTGGAATTTAGAAAATTAAAATTGTTTGGCGTCATTGCTTTTGAAAAATAAATTCTTGGTGCCCGAACCTGGAAAATAATGAAAAAGTTAAAGAGGAGAAGACTTTTGATTGTGTGGATCATGACAAGCTATGGACAACATTGGGAAGTATGAGTATTCCAGAACACTTAATTGTGCTCAGGAGGAATCTGTACATTGACCAAGAGGCAGTTGTTCGAATAAAACATGGGAACACTGAATGGTTTAAAATTAAGAAAGGTGTGCGACAGGGTTGTATTCTTTTACCATACTTATTCAACCTGTATGCTGAGCAAATAATCTGAGAAGCTGGGTTCTATGAAGAAAAACGTGGCATCAGGATTGGAAGAAGACTCATTAACAACCTGCGATATGCCGATGATACAACCTTGCTTGCTGAAAGTGAAGAAGACTTAAAATATTTACTGATGAAGTTCAAAGAGTACAGCCTTCGGTATGAATTACATCTCAATACCAAAAAAATAAAAATCCTCACCACTGGACCAATAAACACCATTCTTTATCAATGAATAGAGAAAAGATTGAAGTTGTCAAGGACTTCATTCTTGAATCAACTATCAACACTCATGGAAGCAGCAGTCAAGAAATCAAACGACGTATTGCATTAGGCAAATCTGCTGCACAAGACCCCTTTAAAGTGTTGAAGAGCAAAGATGTCAGCTTGAAGACTAAGGTGCGCCTAACCCAAGCCATGGTATTTTCAATAACCTCACATGCAAATGAAAGCTTGACAGTGAATAAGGAAGACCATAGAAGAATTGATGCTTTTGAGTTACGGTGTTGGAGAAAAATATTGAAAGTACCATGGGCTGCCAAAAGAACCAACAGATCTGTGTTGGAAGAAGTGCAGCCAGAGTGCTCCTTGGAGGCCAGGATGGCCAAACTTCCTCTCTTATACTTCAGACATATTGTCAGGAGGGACCAGTCACTGGAGAAGGATATCATGTTTGGTAAGGTGGAGGGTCAGAGAAAAAGAGGAAGACCCCCAGTGAGTTGGATTGGCAAAGTGGCAGCATCAATGGGCTCAAGTGTGGCAACAGTAGTGAGGTTGGCCCAGGATCGTGCAGTGTTTCGTCCTGCTGTGCATAAGGTCGCTATGAGTCGGTGCTGACACGATGGCACCTAACAACAATAAAGTCCAAAAAGCTTGATTTTTTAAAAATTGCTTTTATGAATTGTTAAGTTATGAAATCTTTCTCAAATGTTCCTAACACAAAGACTTTGGGAATCATTTTTTTAAGTCACCTTTCAAAAGGAGAGCAGTGCTCCTGTTAATTACTGACTACAGAACTCTATACCTCAGATGGACTCTTATCCAAATTGGGTATGCCATTCCAGACATTCTCAGGATTCACCATCTCCTCCATGCCACTTGAAAGGTTCAAAACCTTTAGAAGAAAACACACATTTTAACAAAAAGTTGTAAGTTCCAAGAACTGTTAACTGATTCATTTACCACAGCGACACTTTGTTACAGTAAATACTTCTAAAAAGCAAAGAAAATTATTAAACATCAATTTTATGTTTGAACTCAGTGGCATTTCAGTTCAACAGATGCATATTGAGTATCTATACCTCAAAAGCAAAGATGGATAAAATTTAGGTCTTACCTCAGTAGTTCAAAATCTAATGGATTAGCAGACCTCTAAGCAGGAGTCCTGGTGGAGGTGGCACTGTGGGTTAATGTGCTGGACTGCAGAGTAATTTGAACTGCCAAGTTGGTGGTTCAAGTTCACCAGTCGCTCCTTGGAAGCTCTATACAGGGGGGCTATGAGTCAGAACTGACTTGGTGGCACATAACAACAACAATCAGGTAATATGATGTAGGAAATACAGACTTTTGCAGGAGAAGGTAGAATAATATGATAGAGGTATAAAGCAGTTTTGGGGGAAGTAAGTGGAGATGGAAAGGTTTAGAAATCAATGCCAGTGAATGCTTTCTGGAAGCAGCTTCAAAGATAATTGGAAATTAACCAGTGTGAGAATAGGATGGAATATCAAACAGCATTGTACTACTAAACACACCAGAGCTGGTGGGTTTGAACTGCTGGCCTTTTGGTTCAAATGACTTTGAAGTCAAGTGCTTAACCTAAGGCGCCACACACCAGGATGCTTACATATGGGCTTTTTTGTTTGTTTTTCAGATGAGGAAAAAAAAAATTATATTTCAAATCTTTTTTTATTTTGAAGCATACCAGTTATAGCCATTAAAATAGACTAAAAAGATCTACATCCCTCCTAAAAAGAAGGATAATCAAGAGCATTCCTGCCACTTTCTGAGCACCAGTAGGTTAACGATTGCTATATTGTTTCCAGCCCTACTGATAGTTTTTTTTAAGTTTTTATTGTGAAGTGAGTGAAAGTTTACAGGGCAGATCATCAGTTTTATATTCAACAAATCATATACTTCGTTTCATTACAATGATTATAATCCGCTCCATGTACAATCAGTTAACAGCATTTCTCTCTATTCATTTTAGCTTTTTTTTCTTAAACACTCAGGCACATATAATAATTTACACCACCCAAGGGCACATTCTGCAAGTCTGCCTTCTGGCCACCATCTCTCAGTCCCTCTCTTCCCATGAATCTGGAGTCCTCAGCTGCTCCCTCTGTCCATGTCCCCATTGCTGCCTCCATCTCTAGAGTCGCTGCTTCTCTGGATAAGGTCCTATATTCTGCTTGTGCTCTTCCCCCTTGATGGTCCTAGAGTACTGTTTCTGGACTGTAAGATTAACTACTCCCCTATTTTTGTTACAAAACTTCTACCTTTACAGTTGTGACTATCGCAGTTAGTCAAGATAACTATTACTCACTATTGAATCATAAGAATCTTGTCCCCATCTCTTTTCACCAAACCCATCCAAACAAGATGAAACTATTCAGTGAGGACTCTATCTTCCCCCACACACTCTTAAACTATACTCCCTCTTGTAAACTTGTAAGACAGTCACTTCACTTTGTACCTTTATTACCCCCCCTCATTTGAGGTAGCCAATTATAATTACATATGGACTTTTTTTTTTCCATCAATTTTTTTTTTATACTATTACTTTTTTTTTTTTTTAAAGGTTTTTATTGTGGATTGAGTGAAAAGTTTACAGGCCAGATCATCAGTTTTACATTCAACAAATCATATACTTTGTTTCATCACAGCGATTATAACCCCCTAAGGGTCGCTATGGATCGGAACTGACTCCACAGCACTTCTCCTGGCTGCCAGCTCTTAGTCCCCCTCTTCCCATGAATCTAGAGTCCTCAGCTGCTTCCTCTCTCCACGTCCCCATCTCTGCCTCCATCTCTGGTGTCACTGCTTCTCTGGATAAGGCTCACATTCCGCTTGTCCTCTTCTCCCTTGATGGTCCTAGGGTCCTTTGTTTCTGGACTGTAAGATTAACAACTACCCCGTTTTTGTTAAAAAAAACTTCTACCTTTAACATATGGATTTTTAGTATGAATTTTTACAGAACTTTAAGGGATGAGCAGACCAATATCTGCTCCACTGAATTCTCCTGTTCTTCAAACAAAAATTGACAAAATGTTTTCGTAGCCGTCTGTAAGTATATTTTGAAATAAAGTACTTAAATTTCACTTACCTTTGTGCCTTCTTCAGCTAGTTCCAAAATCTCACACTTAGACCATGTGTTTCTTAGACTTGACCACACAACACATTTGGATCCAACAGTAAATCCTTTTAGCGCATAGGTGTTCTCTGGTTGAGCTGCTAAATGAACAAAGTAGAGACTCCATGCATAACTCATAGGTCCTTAGATATACAAAGCATTTGTTGTTGTTGTTTTTTAAATCTGCATTTATTCTCTCTGGTAGCGTAGCGGTTATGAATCAGGCTGTGAACCGCAAGGTCAGCAGTTCGAAATTACCAGCTGCTCCGTGGGAGAAAGATGAGGTGTTATGCTCCCATAAAGATTTACAGCCTCGGAAACCCTGTACAGGGTCGCTATGGGTCGGAACCGACTCCACGGCACACAACAACTACAACATATAGTCAATAGCATGTAATTAGCACATTGGTATGGAGTCCTGGTGTGGCACTGCAGGATAATGCACTGGACCACAAGGTTGTTTTGAATGGCAAGGCTGGCAGCTCAAATCCATCAGCTGATCCCCAGAAACCCTAATACAGGGTTGCTATAAGTCAGAACTGAATCAACAACACTTAACAACAGCAGCAGCAGAAACACAGTGTTATAGTCGGTAATGTGTGTTCCTTTTACTTGATTTTATTGTGAATTCTTTCAGCATCCCCTCCCCATATAATCCCTTGGAAACACTACCATCATGAGTAAGGGATTCTGATTTCTAACGCTGACTATTGCTACTAGAAGATGGTACTGTTGCTACAAGGGGTGTGATTGGTGGTTAGAATAGTCACTCCTACACTGAGACAGCAGTAAGTGAGTGTGTAGACAGTCTTACCACAAAGTCAGTGTTTATTATCAGTAAAATGCAATCATGAGAACCAAATATCCAATGCCAGGATACTATCTAGAAAATCTGTGGTATATTCACCGGATGGCATAGTACTCGACTAAAATATTTTTAAAGCATATTCAAAGCAGCTCTGTTAGTGGAGTGGTTACAAGTCAGGCTGCTAATCTCACGGTCAGCAGTTCGAAACTACCAGTGGTTCCTCGGGGAAGGATGAGGCTTTCTGCTCATGTAAAGATTTATAGCCTCTGAAACCCTACACAGGTCTCCTTAGATCTATTTTTGGTGGTGGTGGTGGTGATGGTGAAGACTTTCTAAATGAAAGCAGTCAAATTTGAAAAATCTGCTAAAATGTCTCCTCTCTTAAATTCATGCCTTGCTGTCAGTAGTCTAGTGCTTATCCTAAAGCACCATACCAGGACTTATTTGCCAGGTTTTAATCTACCCATAACCCCAGCCCATCCCCATGCAATATTCTTTTTCTTAAAACAAGTTTTTTTTAAAAAAAGATTATCAAGTTTAAGTAAAAGTTACAGAAAAAAATCCCACATACCTAAAACATGATCTGGTAAAGCATTACTGTATTTTGTTCCATCTCTGGATTCCTCTCCAGAGAACAAAGGAGTCAATGATGACATGACATTCCTGTTTTTATATTCCATCAGTCCTTCTTTAAATATATTCCCTTCAAACTGCAATTGGGAATTGCTGTTTTTTCCATGCTGATGCAATGGTGTCCTGAGCGGCTCATCGAAACGTTCCACACAACTTGACTTTCTGTTGTCCTCGGCACACAAAGATTCTCGGACATTCCCACTAAGTTTTAAAGGCAAAGGATTGATTTCCTCAGCTAGAAACAGCGGGGTTGTAGGTAGTTCCAATTCTGGATGTTTCTTGGCTTCCTTGTTGGGCAGAAGCTGATGTGTATGTGGTTCCAGGGTGACGTCTGTATCACAGCCTTGGGAAACTGGCACTATTGGTGATCCCAGGCCAGGGTCTTCTTTATCTGCCTTTCCGACTAAATCAAGTGGCAACTCAGGAGCTTGTAGATCTAGGAACTCTTTTGATTCACCATGAGGAGCAAGTGGGACCTCAGGTGAATTCAGTTCTAGAATCCCCTTTGTGTCACTAGCACATGGTAGTAATTTGCTATGTCCTGTAGTCAGGCATTTCTCAAATGTTACTTGGTCCACCAAATGGCACTCTACTTTACCTTCCAACAAATCAGTACCAGTTTTATCTTTGCATGGGCTTTCAAAAGCTTCAAAAATATTAATTCCACAGTCATAAAGTTTACAAGATTTGGATTCGATCATTTTTAAATCTTTTTTAATTTTTTCAGTGGTCTCATTTACCTGTGGTTCCACGTAGAGCACCTTATCCTGTTCAGTTTTATTACTCGTTGTCATAAGCCCAGCATGAAGACTCGGACACCCAAGCACTCCCTTCTTCTCTGAGCCACCTTTCCCACGGACTACATCAGTGTTAGTAATGTTCATCTTAGAATATTTTCTCATTTTCTTGGTAATACTTTCTCCCTTGCTTTCCAAGTCAACAATTGCTAAAGGAATATCACAGATATCCTTTTTGATCTCCAATATCGTTAGTTCCAACACATCTTCTGTTACTACTTCAAAAAAATAGTCATTGCCCTCTGGAGGGCACACTCCTTCTGAAATATTAAATCCTGAGAGGCAACAGGGAAAGGCTTGCATGGGAATCAACAGAAGTTCAGAAGGAAGGTTCCAGAGTGCTTTGGGGTCCACACAGTCCTCAATGTTTCCAAAGTCCACCAGCCTGACGGACACAAGATAATCTTCACAAACATTCGTGATCAGTGCCCTATAATACTGCCCATCTTCTCTGTATCTCACTATGCAGGGATCTCCAATACAAGGATACGAGACACAATTTTGCCCCTTTGCTACCAGTTGCCCAGCAGTTTGTACTTCTACTTCTAAATATTGAAGTTTCTCAGTATTAGCAAACTGACACCAAAAGTACTCAGGCCCATCTATCACAGATGCATAAGCCCTTATCGTCTTCATCTCTGGATTGTACCAGTTAAGAAATATTGAAGTATCAATGTCTGGTTTGTTAACATTCTTTAAACTCTTCATAATTTGGGTAGAAAATTGAGATCTTGAATTGAAAGAATATTTGTTAATTATATCTTCTGCTATATTCCCTGTGCATCAACAAGAATAACTTTCCATCTATCTTGAAATTCAACAAATTCACATCTTACTTGAGCCTCATTTGTCCTGTGGGAAAAGTAACGCATCATTTCCTTACAATTTATAATTCCAGGAATCCAAAGCCCATGCAATGAGCAATGAATGCACAATCCTGGTAATATTGCATTAATTAGGTCAAGCCTACCTATTTTGTTAGCACAAACCACAGAAACATTGCCATAGTCTATAAACTGTACAGAGAAACTATCATTCGGGTGTTGCTCTTTGACCACAGCCCTATACCATAAATTGTCATCTGGAAAGATGGCACATATTACATCTCCTCTTTGCAAAGGTGGGCCTGTATAATATTCAGGTCTTGATCTAGTACGGTTTAATCGCTCTGAAAGATGGTTAATTTCAGCTTCATCTTCCATGAGTTGAATGTAAAAGTCTGAAAGGTTATTTATGTGAGAAACATAAACAGTTGTTGTAAAGCCAGGTATTATAGTCTTCTGAGGGAACTCAGAAAATTTAAGAGGCAAATCTTTATTACATTCTTGTTTTCTTTTCTCAGAAGCAACGGTTTCTAGTTCTGTTGCCTTCAAAGGTGATTTAAACATTCCTTCTTTCTTTTCAGCTGTAACTGGAGATATTGGGTTATTCCTATCTCCCACGGAGTGCTGGTATTGAGTGAAGAAGTTGGTCTTTGCTGAACTTTGTAAAAGTCTGGGTTCTGTACGTGCTGAGCTGACATTAGGCATGCAGGATTCTTCCAATGTCTCCATACTGTGCAATTTGTCCTCTACTGATTTTCTTAAATATTTTGTAGGTAACAGCTTCATATTTTCACTTTCTTCAAGAATTTCATTTGTAGAGAGGACTGCTTCTTCCTTTTTGCTTGCCCTGCCTTTGTCACCAAGTAATCCTAACAGCTCATTAATATTAGCATTAATTTGAGTAGTACCATCATATAGTTCTATAATGAGCCTTCCATCTGGATCTTTTGCTACAACCAATGCCTTTAATGGCTTATCTAAAATAGTCTCCTGAAACCAAATGGTTACTTCTTTTGGTATATGATCAGGAATATCAGATAATGCACACTTAACAGCTTGCATGGGCAAAAGTAAAACATCATATGCATCACTGGGTATGGGCAGCAGATCCTCATTTGCTACTACATAAACATTCCCAAAATCGACAAAGAAAATTGTATTTGGTTCTTTTTCCATTACTATCCCCCTGTACCAGTTTCCATCAGTATATTTTGCAAGGCACAAATTTCCCCAGATCAAGGGAGATGTTTTTGAATTCAGCAAAACTTGACTTAATTGTGTAACATGACATGACAACTGCTCTAATATGTTCACGTTTCTTGCCAGTTGACAATAAAATGTCCATGGGTCCTCAACATGTGTTACATACACTGATTCCTCACTCCCAATTTTCACATCATGTGTAGAATAATAGTAGGAATGTAGCTGAACAGACGGTTGCAGAGGCCTCTCAAGTTTTACAGGTCTTGCAAGTCCCTTTTCTACCAAGGTATGGCATGCACTCTGAAAAGGTGTTAGCAAGTCAACGACATGGAACAGTTCTTCATCATGTATGGATGCCATAGCAAATATCGTGCATTTTAATTCTAGATTCCCTTCCCATGCAGTATCTATAAACTCACTAAAAGCTTGTATTGCCTTTTCATCCCAAACAAAGGGATTCTGACCAGTTGGTTGAATTAAATTATAAAGACTGCACCTAAAAGCCTGAACCTTAACGTTAAGAAACTCCTCACTAATTGAATAGATATTCTTCACAGATACCATATCTCTGTCTCCATAATCTACAAATATGACTTTGACATGCTCTGCAGATTCTGCTCCACTAATCAGAGCCCTGGACCATTTTCCATTGACTGTTCGTTTTGCCAAACAAGCTGGGGTGGTGCCCTGATAAGGAATAGCTGTATTTTTGCAATAGTCTTGAATATTGCCCATCAGAGTTCTAAGCACTTGTATGTTCCTAGTCAACTGGCACCAGAAATAGCCAGGATGTTCAACATAAGACACTTTGACTTCTACTGTACTTCCAACTTCTAGCTCACTTTTACAAGAGCCTGGCTTAATTTTTAAGAAATTCTGTGAGAGTGAAGTATAAACAGATGCTCTTTTTTCTTTGTCCTGCAAAACAAGTCCAGTTGAAACATTTGTAACAACTGCGGTGCCAGTCATCACTTCTGTAGTTTTATCATCTCTCTTTGCTTTCTGGTCTATGTCTACCTTCTTGATAGGAGACACTTTGCTAGTCTCTGTAGTAAAATGGTTGGAAACATGTCCTAGGGGATGGACACTTATTGGGATGCTGTCCTTTGTTTCAAATTCCTGATACTTAGCATGCCCAGCTTGAGCAATTACCTTACTGATGTTTTCTTCCCCTGTCCTGGATTCATCAAGAATCTCAATAACGTATTGATGAGCCTGCCTATCAAGGGCATGGATAACTAGTTCTTTGTGGAGCACAGTCTTTTTAAAAAAGGAAATGGCCTCCTGGCTCCAACTTTTCCCCAAAGGCCAAATATCAGCGAGAGTGCATTTCAGAGCCAGTATTGGGAATCGCCTAAACTGAGGAAGCAACATCCTAACATCACACCAGTCTACTTTTTCTGAATTCCCTCGGTCAACCATGAACACATCTACACTTTTGTCATCTAACCGGGTGACTATGGCCCGATAATAGCCATTTTCTTTCCACTTGACACAACAAAGGTCATCGGGTTCAGGTTTCAAAACTACACCATCCAGCTTTGTGGCGGAGGAATAGAAACTGCACATTCTCCTCATCAACTTGTTGAAGGTACCATTGTGTTTCCTTAACCTAATCCAAAACTCAGAAGGGCTTTTAACAAACTCTACCTGGGCATCGTAAAAGGCATTCATCTTTAACCTGATAGATCTTAAGGATGGGAGTGAAATCTCTTCATCCATTTCTTCAGAAGGAGACTGAGTGTGAAGAGCTGTTTCTGGCTCTTCTTCCTCATCCTCCTCATCTATTCCCTGGTTCTGAAGGAATTTGTCAGCCAAGCAACATGACTGTACACCAAATACACAGTTAAGATTAATTCCATCTTCTCCATATAGCGTGACATAATACACATGCTCAAAGGCGCAATAAAATTCAATCTTTGCATTCACTGCCTGACCCAGTATGAGCGCTTTCAGGTCACCGACCTGTGACCTGGACCAGCCTCTCCCACCATCCCAGAGTCCATACAAAGCACAAGGGTAAGTCACCACGGGCATCCGGAAATACTCAGGCAGCAAGTACCGGAGACTACTACAACTCACTAACTCCTTCCTTCCATAGTCAACATGAAGCACTTGGGCACAGCGCTGCGGCCGGAAGGTTTCAAGCAAGAGTGCCCTGTACCAAAGCCCATCTAATCCACAGGAAGCACATGGAGACCCCGGCTTGTCTGGGTTCTCCTCCTTTTCCTCCCGCTCCTCCCAGGGGGCACTGGTAGATTTGTCATCTCCTGTCCCTGTTGAGCTGCGGTACACCTGGGCCATGCTCTCAGAGAGGCGGCTGATCTCCTGCGAGAGGCTCCGGAGCTGGCAGTGAATGCGGTGCGGATGGCACACCTGGGTTACTACTACCGGCTCCGTCACTCCCAGCTGCAGCTGGGGATAGAAGTAATCCAGACCAGGTTGCTCTTGTTTGGGTAGAACTCGCGGGAGAACCGGGACCCCGGGACCCAGGCCCGAAGTGGCCGCTGTGAGATAGCGTTTGAGCAGTGAGCGGAAGAGGCTTTCGGGTACCTGCCGGGCCAGGCCAAGCTCCAGCATCTGCTGAAAAAGACAAGGCACCTCCAGGAGGACCAGGCGATGCGGGAGCAGCACGTCCAGCACGCGCCCGTGCACTTCCTTGCCCTGCAGGTTGCTAAGGAAGTCCACAGCGCTGGATGGCCAGTGCTGAGGCTCGCCACCGCCCGCGCCACCGCCGCCCGCGGGCACCAAGCCAGCCAGTACGCAGCCCAGCACCTCCGAAGGCAGGTGGAAGAACTCGCTGCGCCCGGGTGCCAGGGAACCTGCGCCCGCCGTGATGGTGCGGCCCTCGTCCAGTAGGAAGACGCGGCTCTCCTGCGCCTGCCGGCTGACGACACGACAGCGGTGCCACATGAGCCCCATCTGCACCAGGCACAGCTCGCCCGACGAGGCCGCAGCGCCACCCAGCGCCCACGGACCGCGCGTGGCCGCCGCCTCCTGGATCTCCCGGCTCAGTCGCACGTACTCTTCCCGCCGCTCGCCCAACAGCCCCCAGAGCTGCACGGGGATCACCTCCGGGTGCACATCGACGAAGGACACCCGCAGGGAGAGCGAGGCTCCAGGCGTCGGCAGCCCGGGCGTCGAGCACATCTCCGCGGAGCTGAAAGAAAAGTCCTACAAAACCAAGCTCAAGAGAAAAGGGAACGGGAAGGCAGCCCGGCGCAGCGCCCCCTCATCAACACGCACGTCTGGCCTCACAGACTCGCTCGGACTAATGAAGACCCCGCGGCCCCACCAACCGCTCACAGTTGCGCCGCCGCGCAGGTATTTACTGCGCGTGGAGGCCCGCTTCCGGCCTCGAGCTGGAGCCCTCCGGGGGAGACAGGGGGGAGGGGGGAGGAGGGCGCGGAATGAGCGGGACCAGGGCTGGGCATGTGTCTGAGGTCTGAGAGGACTTCAGGGCACAATCAGGAGGTCGTGGGGTGGGGAGCTTTGGGGTATATCCGCTTCTCCCCAAAGTTCCTTCGACTAAAGGCAGGTCTGACTGGAGCTCTGCTATGCTGAGGATCAAGTGAGAAAGTGATTTCCTTTATCATCTAATACTGAGCGCTTCGTAGTAGGCGCTGTGTTAGGTTAGCATTTTAGTTGTTAAAATGTGAACAAGAAATGGAGGCGCCAACAGGCGTTAGGACCTCACTTCCTAGGGACCCTGGAGACCCCCCTTGTCACTGCAGTGTTTACCCGAGTGGCCTGTGTAAGTGCTTGTGCCGAAGCTGGAATGGGGTTCTTTGGCTCTCAGCATATTTGTGACAGGAGCAAGATGCTTAACCAGTATTTTGTGCCGCTCAGTGGCGTTACTAAGTGGTGGAGTAATTCATGGTGTTTGTTACACACTCCCTTGGGCCAGGGCTGGCCTGAGAACCCCCACTTGGTGGGCGGAGTAAACGGGCCGGCCCCGCCCACATACCGGGCCCGCCCCCCCAGCTCCTCCTCTCTCCCATTGGCTTAGACAAAATCCTCCTCTGCCAGCACCCAGCCTAGTGGATTACATCACTGGTGACATCACTGCCTTGTGGCAACGGCCTACACTCTACTACTGCCATCTCAGACCTTGAGGTCATTTTGGTGTAACCCCTTCTAACAGTGTTTGCGGGTGCAGTTTGCACACCATGCCCTACCCCAAACCACACCACACCACCTCACACACCCCCAGCAGACTTTCCACCCCTACCCCCACAGTGCCCCACTAATGCCACAGTTGAAGCTGTTTTATTATCTGAATTGAGAAGTTATTAGGGTAAGGAAGAAACAGGCAACATAGTGGTTTACTAGTTGGTCTGGTAACAACAAAGTCAGCAGTTCTGATCTACCAGCTGTTCCTGGAGAGAACATGAGGCTTTCTGCTCCATAAAGATTTACAGCCTTGGAAACCTAATATCGGGCTACTATAAGTCAGAATCAACTCCATGGCACAACACCACCATGAGGATAAGGAGCCCTGGTGGTGCTGTAGGATAAACATTGGACTACTGACTGCAAGTTCAGCAGTTCAAACCCACCAGCCACTACTAGGGAGAAAGACGAGGCTTTCTGTTCCTGTAAAGATTTATAGTCTTAAAAACCCTATGCAGGGTCACTATGAGTAGGAATTGACTCGGTGTCAGTGACTTTGTGTATCAGGGTTAAAGTATGTGAGTAGTAGATACAGAGCTGCCATCTGCCATCAAGGAGACTCCAGTTCATGGCACCCTCATGTACAACTGAATGAAGCTGGCTTCTGTATCCTCACATCTATCATTGTAGGTAGTGTGCCAGTCCTCTTAACCCTTTAATCTTGCTAGCCTAATCTATTTCACCAAAGACAATGTCATCTGGCAATTGGTTCTTTGTGATGATGTCCAAAGTGAAGGAGTCCCAAGAGACAGTGTTCTGTTGTGAGTCATAAGATTTTCAATAGCTAATTCTTGGAAGTAACATCTTTCTAATATTCTCTACTTTCAGCCAAGATCCATCGGACATCAGCAATGATATCCCTTGTTCCACATCCTCTTCTGAATCTGGCTTGAACCTCTGGAAGTTCTCTGCCAATATATGCTTGCAGTTGTTTCTGTATTACCTTTAGTAAAACTTTACTCTCATGGGATATCAAAGAGAGTGTCCGATGATTTCTGCATTCCAATGGGTCACCTCTCTTTGGAATGGGCACAAATACAGATCTCTTCCAATCAGTCTGCCAGATAGTTGACTTTGCAAAGGCTTTCGATTGTGTGGATCATGACAAGCTATGGGCAGCATTGCAAAGTATGAGTATTCCAGAACACTTAATTGTGCTCATGAGGAATCTGTACCTGGACCAAGAGGCAGTTGTTCGAACAGAACATGGGAACACTGAATGGTTTAAAATTAAGAAAGGTGTGTGACAGGGTTGTATTCTTTCACCATACTTATTCAGCCTGTATGCTGAGCAAATTATCTGAGAAGCTGGGTCCTATGAATAAAAATGTGGCATCAGGATTGGAGGAAGACTCATTAACCTATGATATGCAGATGATACAACCTTGCTTACTGAAAGTGAAGAGGACTTAAAATTCTTACTGATGAAGTTCAAAGAGCACACACAGCCTTCGATATGGATTGCATCTCAATGTAAAGAAAACAAAAATCCTCACCACTGGACCAATAAACATTCTTATCAACGGAGAAGAGATTGAAGTTGTCAAGGACTTCATTCTTCTTGGATCAACTATCAACACTCATGGAAGCAGAGGTCAAGAAATCAAATGATGTATTATTGCATTAGGCAAATGTGCTACACAAGACCTTTTAAAGTGTTGAAGAGCAAAGATGTCAGCTTGAGGACTAAGGTGTGCCTGACCCAAGCCATGGTATTTTCAATAACTTCATATGCAAGCTAAAGCTGGACATTGAATAAGCAAGACTGTAGAAGAATTGATGCTTTTGAGTTGTGGTGTTGGAGGAGAATATTGACAGTGCCATGGGCTGCCAAAAGAACCAACAGATCTGTATTGGAAGAAGTGCAGCCAGAGTGCTCCTTGGAGGCCAGGATGGCCAAACTTCGTCTCTCATACTTCAGACATACTGTCAGGAGGGACCAGTCACTAGAGAAGGATATCATGTTTGGTAAGGTGGAGGAGCAGAGAAAAAGGGGAAAGCCCCCAGCAAAATGGATTGGCAAAGTGGCAGCATCAGTGGGCTCAAGCGTGGCAACAATTGTGAAGTTGTCTCAGGATCGGGTAGTGTTTCGTTCTGTTGTGCATAAGGTGTGAGTTGATGGCACCTAACAACAACAATTCTTGAGAGTAGATTGGCTGGTTGTTCTTCCCAGTCTGTCTTAGTCTGGAAGCTCTACTGAAACCTGTGCACCAGAGGTGACTCTATTGGTGTTTGCAACACCATTGGCATAGTTTCCAACATCACAGCAATGTGCAAATCATCATAGCACAAATTGGCAGAGGAGGGCTGGAGGATGAGATTATATGGAGTACTGGTATTGGGACTGGTTTCTTCCCCTGTGTTTAATGCCCTTTAATGAAATGTGCTACTTTTCTCTAAATGTATTACAAATGTCCTGTTAAGTTTGACTTGAAATGTTTTTAATTTTTTTTAATGCTATTTTTAGTGATACATTTTTTTCTGTTACTTTTTCTAACTGTTTTGCTTGCTGATCTTGTTCAACTAATATATCAGTTGTGTTTCTGAGAATTTCTAGATAGAGGACTACACCGTCTTTAAAGAATATGTTTGGACTTCTGTTCTTTACTTGATGTTTTCTACTTATCATGCATTCTAGTAGTGTCACCTCCCCATTTTTCTGCTTTTGGATTGATTACATTTTTATTTGACTTTTTTTCTTTCTAATATTGCAATTTGTACATTTTATTTTTATACCCATGGTGTTGCTGTTGTTAAGGGCCGTTGAGTCAGTTCCAACCCATAGCGACCCTGTATAGGGTTTCCAGGGAGTAGCTGGTGAGCTTGAACCACTTACTTTATGTTTCAAAGCAACTTTACAGTCCAGCACATTAGCCCGCAGCGCCACAGCGTCTCTAAGCATCTTTACACACATCAGGTACTTAAACATATATTTGAAAAGAATATATACAACAAAGTATGCTTTCACTTTGCTCCATTCTTTCCACATGCATCCCCATGGTATTATTTGAAGATTTTGTTGCAGATGATTGATATTTTATACTTCAATATGGTTTTCTAATTTTTTAATAGAAATGTCTACTTTTCATCTCACTTATTCCTATTAGATTATTTCTTCTTTTTACTAGATACACGTTTTAGAATTCTTTTGGAGCAAGCCTAAGCTGGTAAATTTTATGAATTTTGAATGTTTGAAAATATCAGTTGTGAAAAGTGATGATTAAGATTAAAAAAAAAAAAAATCTCAAAATTTGTTAACATTCTCACCCCAAACCATATCAGAGCAAAACAAAACCTTTAACAACTAATAAGGCATTTTTAAATGTTTATTTAAAAATCAGGAAAACACACTACATTTACTCACATATATTCTTGTTTGGTAGCAGATATTTTCAGCAAACACTTCTTTAAGCATCTTCATTTGCTTTTATCCAGCTTTACAAAGTGGTTCCTGCTGCTGTTGACAATCACGGCAACCAGTTGGGGGTAAAGTATGAGGAGAGAAAAACAGTCATGCATTCCTCAAAACTCAGTAATGAAAAAGCACTTGAGTTGGGGAAATATGCACTGGTATGGTATCAGTGCAGGCGGAAACAGTGATGTAATTTCCACACAAAATCTAAAATAAAAAATACTGTAAGCACATCACTTATTTAGTAAACACAAAAAACAAATTTATATACATGTGTTATTTAAATTTTATATTCTTGTTGTTGTTGTTAACTGTTTAGTCCTGTCAAGTAGATTCTGACTCATAGCGACCCTGTATAGGGTTTCTGAGGCTGTAAATCTTTGCCGGAGCAGAAAGCCTCATCTTTCTCCCATGAAGTGGGAGATTCAAGTCTCAAACTTTGTGGTTCATAGCCCATGTTCATCTTTCATAGCCACTGTGGTTCCTGTCTTATTTAAAACCATCAATTTCCAGATTTTTGTGGAATAGTGTTGATCTGATAAAGAAAATATTTCCTAAATTTATC